CGAGCTGCTTAAAATATTTACTGAATCAATTTATAATTGTTACCACTTCTCATAAAATGAAATTATTCTACAAAAGAGCGTCTAGAATACCTTTGACTGTCATATGTACCAGTTAATGTTCTAAGCTTTTTACATGTATTAATTCCTTTCATCCTCAGAGCAACAATATAATAGGTACTGTTATTATTACTTTTTCTGTAAAATTTTCTTTATCTGTAAATACTATTCTTTATCCGTAAAATTTTCATCTACTTAGGTTTATCTTCCAAAGCCATTACATATTTCTGTCTTCAGTCAAAACTGTAATTTTAAAGAAAAATTGAACTTGTATTGCATGTTAATTACTATGTATAAGTTAACAGAATTTCACGTCTGTTGCAAACAGTTTTTCAGTGGACAGGAATTAATTATGTAACTTAGACGCCTGTCATAACATGGATTCAGAAATAACACATTTTACAGATAAAGAAATTTGAGGCACAGAGAAATTAAGTCCGAGGCAAGATTTAAACCTTGGCACTCTGTCTACATAATTCTTAAATATTCTATTACACTGACTCATTTATTAAATAAGCTCAGAATTTCTTAATTGTATTAAAATTTTAACTCAAACAAGAAATTAAAAATGTGCAGAACAGAAATACAAAGAGGATAGATCATTCACATAAAATCTTTATAAAATATACACACATTAGATACAAAAATACATCAGGGCTTTAAAATGAAATAAAGAAGGATCCATGGAACAATCATTGCCTTCTGGTATTTGTCTAAAAGCAGATTTGGTATAGCAGGTTTCTCTATATCCCTGCTATAGTTTTTGTTCTTTCCTTCTTTTTTTTTTTTAAACGATAAAGCAAACACTTAATAGTATTCTGAATCTTGGTAACTGCATTAGTCAATATCAAATAAAAAGCATCTATTTGAAATTAAAACGAAATCAAACTTTCCATAGTCTACAGTAACTTAACTTTAGCCTCTGAAACCAAGTTAATAAAGGTCAAGTTGTGAGTTTAGTCCCTATCTACTTAATTGACACCTAAGCCACAAAACAGTGGTGCTGAAATCAGTTGGGAGGCAATTATCTGCCACCATATAAATATAGATCACACCCAGAGTAAATAAATGGTGACGAGAAATCAAGATTACTACAAAAAAAAAAAAAAAAAAAATCAAAGAGACAGTTTTCTTTAAAAGGAGAAAATAACCGATTTATGAAATTAGGAGAATATTTTATCACATCTGCTCTTTTCTTAAATTTCTTTCCCACAGTTCTTTTCTCATAGGATAATTCAACTAATAATGGTATATAGTTTTATCAGTGAGCCTATGGAACAAGTTAGGATATTTTCCTTTTATCTGAGATTTGGCTTTTATTATTACTTGACAAACAAAAGTAAAATTAGAAGCCTGTCAGAACTCTTACTGGATGTGGTAATGACTTTAGGAACTTGCTTTCTTCTGTGTTATTTCTGAATCCATGTTATGACAGGCGTCTAAGTTACATAATTAACCCCTGTCCACTGAAAAACTGTTTGCAACAGACGTGAAATTCTGTTAACTTATACATAGTAATTAACATGCAATACAAGTTGGATTTTTCTCTAAAATTACAGTTTTGACTGAAGACAGAAATATGTAATGGCTTTGGAAGATAAACCTAAGTAGATGAAAATATATCACTCATATACATCAAGAAAACTGACTCAATGCTGTAAAATAAGCTCATAATTTCTTAACTTATTAAAGTGTTACCTCAAACAAGAAACTAAAAAGATTTTGAATAGAAATCCAAAAAGGGTAGATTAAAATATATATAATCTTCAACCAAACAAGGATTGAAAGAAAAAAAATAAATTTAAAAATATATAATTAAATGATATATAATAAAACATATGAATAATGGAAAAAAAATCTTAATTTTATCCTAAAGTTTCAACACTGACCTCCACCAAAACCTTCTCCAAGCTCTAAGCAAATGTGAGTTATACTTTCTTCCTCTATCCAATTACTCTTTTGTGGAAACACCCATAAAATGTTCCACAGTCCAAATGTAGAAGATGTAACCTCAAAAAATTCTTGAGAGGATTAAATGACTTAATATTTACTAAGTACCTAGCATGGTGCCTGGCACATAGCAAATACTCAAAACATTGTGTTATTATAATTGTTTGTTAATACTAATAGCAACTTTCATTTGCATAGCATTTCTTCACAATAACTTCTCAAACTATACAAAATTCTTACTAGTTTACAGAATTCACACTGATGTTCAATATTCCTGGATGTCTGTAAAATTTGAGTAAGAACATAGAAAAATCATAGTGATTCGCCCAGGGAACTACTATGTTATCTCTGATTCTGGAAATAAAGGAGGTTTTAGGGCAATTGTGTTTACCCTTAAGTTCAGCTAAAAAAAAATTAACATATGTAGCACACACATTCCTATAATTCACTAATTTAACTACACTCTTGAAATTATTGAAATTTTAAACTTGTTTTAGCTGAATTTGCAATTTTCAATGTATCCTTAACCACTTCCTTTTAACCTTCTGAGGTGTACTATTAATAAAACACCTGATAGTGTATTCTACTATACTAAAAATTGATTATAAATTTGTACTCTCTCTATATATGATTAAATACGAAAGGCTTTTTAAGTCAATATAAGAAGAATTCCTAGATTTCCAAAGTAAGATTTAAAAAAAATTTGCTTCATAATAAACAGAATACACACTCAATGAATGAGATTTACGTTCCACAAAATAGTTCTAAAAGATAATTAGTAAGACGTGATGCTGATGAGATCCCATTTCCTAAATATCCACTACGGAGACTAATGCATCTTCTAAGTCTTCAATCAAAGAGACAAAATATAACAGATATAAAATAAATTGCAATCTGTAATGTACAGTGATTCACAGGGACCTAAAAAAACAATCAAAAGGAAGACTCATCTTGCTTTGTTCCCAGGAAAAGGGCATGATAACTGCTTAAGTATCCACGTCTCTCATTTAAGACTTTCGAAGTCCTTTTCTGTGATTCCATGATTACCACACAACCTCTAGTTATTAACTTGGCTTCTCAAGTTCTTGGATACAAGAAAGAGTGCACTGGATTTTCAACTTGAAAATTCTGATTCAACATAAACTGGCACTGTAATGTGTACATCATTATCTAGGTTAGTTTGAACTGGGTTCCTCAAGTCTGGGCAATACATGGGTCTACACATTTGAGCTTCTTAGGTTGGGACTATGAGAAACAGACACTTTCTCATTGACAACTGCTACAATCATTTCTTGTTTTTCACCTCCCTGTCTTTAACCTGTCCCTAAAATGAAACATGTTAGCCAAACCTAATTTAGGCAGATTCATTTAAACGCGAAAATGGCTTATTAAAACCCAAGTAACAGCCTAGAATTTAAACCAAAACATAGGATGTATATTTACACAGCCTCATTTATATTAAGTCTATTCCCCATCCCCACCCCCCAAGAAACAAAACAAAACTGATATTCAAATCGTAATTTAAGGCAAAAATTCAGAAATTATTTTTGCGCTTGCAACAGCTGGGAGCATTATTTATAAAGCTGTTTAGCATATGTGACTCAATTATCCCAAGACTTTAAAAAGTATTTAAGAGAAATCCCACCTGGTACAGAGAAGGGTAGGAATACTTGCATTTGAAGTGCATAAATTTGGGTCTTCAAATGATAACTTAGACTTTTCGCACGAGTCATTCAAAAGTAATTGTATTAATACTCCTTCAAAAAAAAATCTCTCTTACACACTCCAAAGCATTCAGGCTCACACTAGATACGCCAGCTCCTCCACTGTGTTCGTTTAAGTATCATTTATGATAAGGAGAAAATGCACACAAAATTCTCAGTTCGCCTAAAATAAATAAATGTCTACTATTATTCCTAAATCCACAGGGCAGAATTCTCTTAGAACCGTGATGCCAAGAACTTCCACCGCAAGTGAAATTGTCTTCGCAATCTCTATCTCTAGGAGACTGAAGGGCCGCAGAGATGCTTGAGGATCCTGCAGGGGGGCTAGGGCGGCAGACGGAGGGGGCAGAGGGAAGGGGAGAGTCCCACAGAGGAACTGCATTAGAAGGAAAGACTTTGATAACGTCTAAGGGAGAGGCGGTTAGCTACAGGGAAAAACAAAAACAAAAACAAAAACAAAAAAAACCAGACCTATTTCCAGATTATGTACGTTGTAAAGAAAACGCAAAGTGATGAGGGTAAGGAAACGTGGTCAAAAACAAAAACAAAAAAAACAAAAAAAAAATTAACCCTCTACGGCCGGAGGGTTAAGAGAAGTCGACAAAAGGAGAAAGGGGAGGAGGGCGGGGGCGAATAAAGGCCCCAAAGACCAGGAATTGAAAAAAAGTACCCGATTTGTGAGCTTGGCCGTGGTCCGGATCTTCTGTCCTGATAAGCAGATGGCAAGAGGAAAGGATCACAGTTACTCAGGGTGGCAGAGAGTAACGCGTTTACAAGGGTAACCAGCCCTGCACAAGAAGATGTCGTCCCTCTTTCCACCTGCTCCGCTCAGTCCTTTGCCTCTTACTCTAGCACCAGTGGCATTCAGGCAAAACACTGCCAAAGTCTGCACCGCTGGAGGACAGCAAAAGGAAAATACCTGAGTCCCAGTAATCACACGGGAAGCGACAGGAGGAGGAGCCGCGGACAACTGGAGCCTGGGCTGGATCCTCACTAGCTCCGGTCAAACCCCAACTCTTACGGGTGGGGTGGGCAACTTCCGCCCAGAGCAAGGAAAGCGTCACATCCGTCTAATGTCTTCACCCCTCCTCCCTTCTCCGCTCTAGCTGCGTTTGCAACGTTCTGACTTCCTCTTCCAGGAGACTTTGGCCTAGTCTCAACACCTGACGTGGACTACATAACCCAGCATTCATCACGGCAAGTGGATTTCCGGGTCAAGAGGTCCGCGCTGGATACATCACCATGGAAGCAATCGGTTTGGTCACGTGGTGCCCTTGGTTACGCCCGGTGGCAGCTGTGGGGTCTACGGCTCAGACGGGGGCCATTTTGCCAGAGGCTGCCTCCCGGAGTTGGGGGCGGCCTGGCGGCAGGCTGAAGCTGTTCTTTTTCCTCTTCTGCAGCTTGGGGCTTGGAGAGAATCTGGAAGTCCGGGCTCCATCGAGCCCTTCGGAGACGGCAATGATTTCTTCCAACCACCGCCACCTAACGACCCTGCATGGCGGCTGCGCCCTCCGCTCTGCTTCTGCTGCCGCCCTTTCCAGTCCTCTCTGCCTTTCGGCTCCAGAGCCGCAGTCGTCCTTCCGCCCCAGAGACTGATGATAGTGGAGTTGGGGGCATTATGAGAGGAGAGAAAAACTACTACTGCCGTGGAACTGCGGGGGACCACGGTTCCTGCCCCACTACAACTTCGCCTCTGACCTCGGCCCTCTTGATGCCCTCGGAGGCAGTCTCAAGCAGCTGGTCTGATTCTGGAGGCGGTTTGTCAGGGGGAGATGAAGAGGAGACTCGGCTCCTTCAACTCCTCCGCACCGCGCCGGATCCTTCTGAGGCCTTTCAGGCTTTGCAAGCTGCTTTGCCGCGGCGGGGCGGTCGACTTGGCTTCCCCCGACGCAAGGAAGCTTTGTATCAGGCACTGGGCCGAGTGCTTGTGGAAGGAGGCAGTGATGAGAAGCGGCTCTGCTTGCAACTTCTCTCAGACGTTCTCCGGGGTCAGGGGGAGGCAGGACATCTGGAAGAGGCCTTTAGCTTAGCACTTTTGCCTCAACTAGTTGTCTCGTTACGGGAAGAGAATCCAGCCCTGCGGAAAGATGCGCTGCAGATCCTGCATATATGTCTGAAACGTAGTTCTGGAGAGGTGCTGAGAACGCTTATACAACAAGGACTGGAAAGTACCGATGCCCGACTTAGAGCGTCCACAGCACTACTGCTTCCCATCTTGCTTACTACTGAGGACTTGTTGCTTGGTCTGGATCTCACCGAGGTGATAATATCCCTAGCCCGAAAGCTTGGTGATCAGGAGACAGAAGAAGAATCTGAGACAGCTTTCTCCGCACTTCAACAAATTGGGGAGCGACTTGGCCAAGACAGGTTTCAATCGTATATTTCTCGTCTCCCCTCTGCCCTGAGGAGACACTACAATCGCCGCCTGGAGTCCCAGTTTGGAAGTCAAGTTCCTTATTATTTGGAACTTGAAGCCTCTGGATTTCCTGAAGATCCCCTTCCCTGTGCAGTGACTCTTTCCAACAGCAATCTTAAATTTGGGATTATTCCTCAGGAGCTGCATTCACGATTATTGGATCAGGAAGACTATAAGAACCGAACCCAGGCCGTCGAAGAACTAAAGCAGGTGCTGGGAAAATTTAACCCTAGTTCTACTCCTCATTCTAGTCTTGTTGGCTTCATTAGTTTGCTATATAATTTATTAGACGATTCTAACTTCAAAGTGGTTCATGGCACACTTCAAGTCCTGCATTTACTGGTTATTCGCCTTGGAGAGCAGGTACAGCAGTTCTTGGGACCAGTTATAGCAGCTTCTGTCAAAGTACTGGCAGACAACAAGTTGGTGATCAAACAAGAATACATGAAAATCTTCCTCAAGCTAATGAAGGAAGTAGGACCTCAGCAGGTGCTTTGTTTACTCCTGGAACATCTCAAACATAAGCATTCCAGAGTGAGAGAGGAGGTGGTGAACATTTGCATCTGCTCCCTGCTGACCTATCCTAGTGAGGATTTTGACTTGCCCAAACTGTCCTTTGATCTTGCCCCAGCTCTTGTAGATAGCAAACGCAGGGTACGCCAAGCAGCTTTAGAAGCTTTTGCCGTATTGGCATCATCAATGGGCTCAGGTAAAACCAGCATCCTTTTTAAAGCTGTGGATACTGTTGAACTGCAAGATAATGGAGATGGAGTGATGAATGCTGTGCAGGCCAGATTGGCTAGGAAAACCTTACCAAGGCTAACAGAGCAGGGATTTGTGGAATATGCAGTACTGATGCCATCTTCTGCCGGGGGTAGATCACACCATTTGGCACATGGAGCAGATACGGACTGGCTTTTGGCTGGTAACAGAACTCAGAGTGCACACTGTCACTGTGGTGACCACGTAAGGGATAGCATGCAAATTTATGGATCTTACAGTCCAACTATTTGTACCCGAAGGGTATTAAGTGCAGGAAAAGGAAAAAATAAATTACCGTGGGAAAATGAGCAGCCTGGAATCATGGGAGAAAACCAGACCTCCACTTCCAAGGATGTAGAGCAGGTATGCTTCTCTAATTTTCTTGAGTCGAAAGTGTGAAGAATTTAAATGAAAATATGCCTGCGATGACTGAAGGGTGAGTCTGCTTGAGGGAAACATGTTATGCTTTGTTTTAAATCAATTTTAAATCCACTGAATGTTGATATGGGTACTCATTATAATGGTACAGATCACAAAGGACCATTTAATAGGCTTCCTGCTTGATAGATTTAATTAAGTTTGAGACACGTGATATAGACAATACCTAGATTCAGTTTGAGTTTGTTACTGTGGCATGTCAGTTTATCTCATCATACAACAAACATTGAATACCTAGTAGGTGCCAGATAAAGAGCTAAATTCTGGGAATGAAGATGAGGCCAGTTTCACACAGTTTAGGAAAAAGGTCAGACCTAGGAATTAGCAATTAACAAATTCGCTAAGTGCTAAAGTAGAAATACAAAGACTGCAGGAATACTGAAGATAGAAAAAATAATTCCACTAGAAAAGTAAAAAAAAAAAAAAAAAAAAAGCATCCGCAGAAAATACGACATTTGAACTGAGATTTTACCCCCGAAGCTTTTATTTAAAAAATTCCAAATCTATAGGTAAGAGTACAATGAATACCCATATACTTCATCTGTATTTACCAGATGTAACATCTTGACGTATTTCCTCCATATTTGCTGAACCATTTGAAAGTAAATTGTGGATATCTTGAGATTTCACTCCTAAATATCTCAGCATATATCTCCTAGGAATGACATTCTCCTTTATATCCATAAATCATTATTGCACCTCAGACTATCAGTAGTAATTCAGTAATATGTAGCAGACAGCCTGTAATTAAATTTCCCCAATTGTCTCCAAAAGTGTTTTATATTTCTTGTTTTACTTTTATCATCCAGGATCTAGTCAAGGTTCATGTGGTTAATGTTTCTTGTAATTTTATCTAGAATAATATCCTGCTTGTTGTTTGTTTCTTTGTTTTTTCATGGCTTTGGCCTTTTATAAAAAGAGTTTGGGGTAGTTTTGTAGAATGTCCCTAGTTTTAAATTTATATGTTTACTTGATTAGATTCAAAATAAATATTTTTAGGAAAATATTACATAGGAGATACGTATATATGAAGGAGAAGCTAAGTAGTGTGAACTTCACAGTACATTACATTATGAGGCAAATGATATCAGGTTGTCCCATCACTGGTGATGCTTAATTTTTTGGATAATGCTTAATGTTTGGATAAGGTGGTAATAGCCAGATCTCTCCATTGTAAAGGTACATTTTCCTCTTTAGAATTAGCATATAATCTTAGAATTAGTATATAGAATTAGCATATAGCATAATAGTAAAATGATACTTGGAGACCGTAAGAATACCCCAACAACTTTTCACCCACTGTGTTTAGCATCCATCAATGGTCTTTATCTGTATTATTTATTATACTGGGGACTTACAAATTGTAATTTTGTTTTTGTTTTTGTTTGAGATGGAGTCTCTCAGCTCATTGCAACCTCTGTCTCCCGGGGTCAAACGATTCTCCCACCTCAGCCTCCTGAGTAGCTGGGATTACAGGTGCCCACTGCCATGCCCAGCTAATTTTTGTATTTTTAGTAGAGACAGGGTTTCACCATGTTGGCCAGACCTGTGTCAAACTCCTGACCTCGTGATCCACCCGCCTCAGCCTCCCAAAGTGCTGGGATTACAGACCTGAGCCACCGCACCCAGCCCAAATTGTAATTTTTAAATTACAAAGGCCGGGCAGGGTGGTTCACACCTGTAATGCCAGCACTTTGGGAGGCCGAGGCAGGCAGATTACCTGAGGTCAGGAGTTCGAGACCAGCCTGGCCAACATGGTGAAACCCCCATCTCTACTAAAAATACAAAAATTAGCTCGGTGTGGTGGTACACACCTGTAATCCTAGCTACTCGGGAGGCTGAGGCAAAAGAATCACTTGAACCCAGGAAGCTGAGGTTTCAGTGAGCTGAGATGGCACCACTGCACCCCAGTCTAGGCAACAGAGGGAGACTCTGTCTCAAAAATAATAATAATAATAATAACAAATTAATTACAAAAAGAGTAATTTAAAAACATTGTAACATTTCTTCTCTATCTGCAATTCTTTTTTTTCTTGTATGTGTAATAATTATGTATTATTTTTTGTTACTAAAGTTTTTTTAACTTTTTTGTGCTAAAAGTGTCCCAAATTTGACTAGAGACTGGCTCCTGTGTCCTTTTAACATGACTGTTCTTTAGTCTTTGAGCACTTCCTTAACATAATATTTGGGATGATTTCTTGAGGCTAGGAGTTCGAGACCAGCCTGGGCAACATAGTGAGCTCTCATCTCTACAAAAATAAAAAAACTTAGCCAGGCATGGTGGTGCATGCCTATAGTCCCAGCTACTTCGGAGGCTGAAGTGGGAGGATTGCTTGAGCCCAGGAGTTCCAGGCTGCAGCAGTGAGCCATGATTGTGCCACCGCACTCCAGCCTGCTCAACAGAGCAAGACCCAGACTCAAAAACAAAATGAAACAAAACAAGAGTAACATGATGCCTAGCCTTACTTTGGTTTTTTCTTGCTTCAGACTTGGAATCAGCCATTTTTTCAGAAGTCCTAGTACTGCCTTTTTATTGGGCAGCGGTATTTGAAAACAAAAGTCTGAGTATAGATTTGTTCATTGCTATTTCTTGCCATTGTGGTTTCACCCTTTCAGTGGACAGAACCAAGGAGTATCTGTTTTTTGTTCGCTTGTTATTTAATGCATTTATATTAATACCTCCAGTTCAAAACTAGTACTACAGGGTTCTTTCTCATCTTCCTTTATTCCATATTTGAATCTCCCTTTGTTCATAATAAAATCCCTGCTTCCTAACACCAGCAATATTTATTCATATGCTGTATCCTACAGTAGCCCTCCCCCACAAAAAAAATTGCCAGACCAGTAACGGCAACCAACTACCTACTAAATAAAGTTTAAGATTTCATTACAGTTCTTTTTGTGTTTAGAATTATTCCACAGTCAGAATTTTGTGGTCAAACTTTTCTTAAATTAAGTCTTTTGTCTTAATTTTAATTAATATTCAAACAGTGTGATGAAAGATGAATAGGCACTTATTACGTGTGGATAGATCTCAGTGAATTTCAGACTAAAGGAATAGCGTGTTCAGAGACACTGATTATATGAAAGAACTTAATAAATTAATAAGAGAATGGGGAGTTTTTGCACAGCAGACACAAGGGGCCTAGTGGGAAGTAGCAGATGATACTGGAGATGTAGATAAGGGTAAAGTATGGAGATAATATCTTGCAAATAATGAGTTTGGACCTTCTGCAATAAACCTCAAATGGGAGGAGGTGAATTGAGTGTTCTCTCTGGTTCCTTCCAATCCCAAAATGTGTAGATTTTTTGGAAATAATTTTCAGATTTATATAATCTGGTTATATGTTATTTCCTTGTATTATAAGCATTATCTGGCAGTGATGATTTTTTTTAAGCATTACTCTTAAGACTGCTTATCATGTGTCAAGTCTAAGATGTCAGTGTATATATTATTAAAAAGATTCTAGTGCTGGCCAAAGCAACAAGAATCTGAAGATAAGTGCATTTCTGAAATGCCAGCATAGACATACTTTGCTTTTGAAAGATGCTGTGGTGAAATCAAAACTTTACCCAGAAATCAAGTTGTAATTACTTGTTCAAAAAAGGTCTTAGAGGAACTATTTTAATAGAGGACAGGGAATAAATATCTAAACAGTTTATGTGTGCAGTTTTTAAAAATATATATACATACATATTTTAAATTATTGGACTTTATTTATTTATTTATTTATTTATTTATTTTTTGAGACGGAGTTTCACTCTGTCGCCCAGGCTAGAGTGCTGTGTGGCGCAATCTTGGCTCACTGCAAGCTCCATCTCCCGGGTTCACGCCATTCTCCTGCCTCAGCCTTATGAGTAGCTGAGACTACAGTAATTCTTCTGCCTCAGGCTCCTGGACTCAAGAGTAGCTGGGACTACAGCTACTACAGGCACCCGCCACCATGCCCGGCTAATTGTTTTGTATTTTTAGTAGAGATGGGGTTTCACCATGTTAGCCAGGATGGTCTCTATCTCCTGACCTCGTGATCTTCCCATCTTGGCCTTTGCCCAAAGTGCTGGGATTACAGGCGTGATCCACCGCACCCGGTCTGGACTTTAATGTTTAAAGCAGTTTTAGGTTCTCAGCAAATTTGAACAGAGAGTACAGATAGTTCCCATATACCCCTGTCCACACAAGAACAACCTGACCCACCTCATCCTGTACTTTAGGGGTACATTTGTTATAATCAGTGAACCCATATTAACATATAATTATCACCCAAAGCCCATAGTTGCATTAAGGTTCACTCTTGTGTTGTACATTCTATGGGATTTTGGCAAATGTATCCATGTCTTATGTTTAGTACATCCTATGGGGTTTTGACAGTGTATCCATGTCTTGTATCCACCATTATAGTATCATAACAGTAGTTTCAGTGCCCTAAAAATTCTCTGTTCTTTACATGTACATTCTTCCCTCCCTCACCCCATTCCCAACCCTTAGCAACCAGTGGTCTTTTTTTCTGTCTCCATAGTTTTGTCATTTCCAGAATGTCACATACTTGGAATTATATAGTATCTTGCATTTTCAGATTGGTTTCTTTCACTTAGTAAAATGCATTTAAGTTTTCTTTATGTCTTTTCATGGTTCCTTCCTTCTCCCTTCCCCTTCCCCTTCCGTTCCCTTTTTTTTTTTTTTTTTTTTGAGACAGAGTCTTGCTCTATTCCCCACCCCAGGCTGGAGTGCAGTGGCACCATCTTGGCTCAGTGCAACCTCTGCCTCCTGGGTTCAAGCGATTCTCATGCCTCAGTCTCCCAAGTAGCTGGAATTACAGGTGCATGCCACCACACCCGGCTCATTTTTGTATTTTTAGTAGAGACGGGGTTTCTCCATGTTGGTCAGGCTGGTCTCAAACTCCTGACCTCAGGTGATCTGCCTGCTT